TATTTTCTGGTGCTTTCACTTCCAGAGACAGTTGTAAGCACTGTGTAACTGCCTCGAGGGTGCTTGACCATTTTAACACAACGTGGTGCGATCATCCCCCTTGCGCGGAGTGAGGGTTCTCTACCCCGCACAACATGATCTACTCGACCGCCGTTATGGTTACAGCCAAAAAATAACCAGAGGTAAAACAAAAGAACGGTAACCTGGTTGCCGAGTTCACGAAGTGAATTGGCTTGTTTTACAACGTCGTTGCCAAGCGACGAAAACCCAACCCCGATGGCAAACACCGGGGGGGGCGAGGGGTTTAGGGATCGTTAAATCATCTCGATACAGGAATTGCCGTATCCTTGTAGATGTATCCTCATCCTTCATACAATATGCTTGAACAACGTGGGAAGTGCTTCTGCCCTTAGGGCAGTCTCTCTTCTGAACCCCCTCCGCACGAGAGCATGGCGCGACTCAAGGGCAGGGGCGAAAAACAGCGCGGAGAGACAACAACACCACGTGTGAAAAAAAACGCGTTTTGGACGATAGCAGGGGATGTTGGAGTTCGTCCCAACTTGTGAGCGTTTATTTTCCACGCTTGCGCGCTTTCTCTACGTGGTTGACCTTCCATACTAAAGGGAGACGATCTTCCACACGCATCCACGCTTTTTCTTTGTCCAAGGCCGCGGATGGAGTAGCGGCTGCGGCAAAGGTGCTTTTGTCCAAGGTAGGCGTTAACCTGTTGCCTTCATCATCCGTGATGACGATCGACTTCGTAACGTGCAGAGCAAAGGCGACGAAGGTACGACATCAACGGCAGCAGGAGGAGGAGCAAGAGGAGAGATGGGGGAGGCTGCATCCCGAAGGCAAGACACCGATAGCCAGTGACATCGAAGCTGGAATGTCCCCGTACGTCCTGTCACGCGGGCTGAAGCAACTGCTGCCGGACAAGAGATCATGCGGAACGAGACCACGACGTCGACAACGTCTGAGTCACTCTGAGGCAGAACGCCTCCCCAATATACTTGCGAAACGAACTCCTTTCACCCTGCATATAGCTTATAGTAGCAACATCGCGCACCAACCGATGGACGATTCCGAACCCTCTCTCGTTCTTTCGCTTGTTCCTAGCCTCTCGTGTGTCCACAACAATGGTGGCACCACGCGCCTCCCCCGACCCGTCAGCAAGTATTATGTGAAAATATGGTGACCCGTGAGCGTTTCGTCGACCAAAAAAAAAACGCTCCCATACCACGCCGGTGGTATCCATATAATCGCACCACCACATCGTCCGTACAGGCTTGGACCTCTCCGTACCGTATCAAATTCAATGTAGATTCCGGGGAAACGAACGGAACGCCGGTGGATATGCGCCTTCATGCTCTTGTCCCTCCGGCGGGCATCGTGCTCACAATATGCCAATAATGAAATGATCCATTCATACATCAGGGCGGAGGCCAGGAAGAGCGAGGGAGTCCGCGCGCTGGCCTTGATCCGTCGGCAAGTCGTCGCCCGTGGCCGCCAGACTCGGCAGCAACGGGGCTTCGGTAATGCGACCAGCGGCAACGGCGAAGCGGCGCTAGACGCTGCCGGGCAACCGATAGCCGCAGCCATCGCAGCAGCACAAGAAGCAGCAGCAGCGGTAGAAGCGGTATCAAGAGAGACCAGCGAAGGGGAAGGAAGAAGGAGGCCGGCTAATGGAGCGTCAGGAAGAACCGGAGGAGGAGTAGGAGCTGAGGCAGAAGCAGCAGCGTCGATGGCTGCTACAGCCGCGAACACTTTACCCGCAAGAGCAGACGCGGAGGCGCTCTGCCCCGCCGCTGTAGTCATCGCGAGAGCGGTGGAGGCCATACTGTGCGGTACCACCGCAAGTTTCGCGGGCACCGACGGTGACAGCGGCGGTGACGAAAGCGAAGGGCGAGGCGGAGTCAACAGTCCAGAAACAGCAGCATCATCATCAGCAACGGCGGAGCTCGTGGCGACAAATGCTGCCGGCAATGAGAAACGCGAAGACGTTGAGATGGTCGCTGATGGGGGAGACGGGAGTCAGGCGGAGCGAAAGCAGTATCGCGAGACTCTGGATGGGCTGGGTAAAGCTCTTGGAACCCTCCGGGAGGCGCTCAAAGCTGCAGCGGGGCATTCCACGCCCTCTCTTGCAGTCTCCTCTGCGTCAGTAGATGAGGCTGCCGGGGTCGACAGGGTTTCCAGGACGCAGGGGTCTTCCAATGATCAGGCTGGCGGCAGCAGTAGCGGTGGTGATGGACGCAACGTCACGGAAGGAGGGGCAAGGGCTGTGGGTCTGCCCCAGCTGGAAGTCCTGCCCCCTTCATCGCAGTGGCGCTTTCGGTGCTCCACGGGGGGGAACGCGGCGAGCGAGGGCGAGAACCTTGACCGTCTGCAAGAACGGGAGGATAATGGGGTGAGGGACAGGCCGCAGAATTTCCAGAGCTTTCCCCGCAGAGAGAGAGAGAGAGAGAGAAAAAGAGAGAGAGAGAGAGAGAGAGAGAGAGAGAGAGAGAGAGAGAGGGAGTACGAACGAGTTCGGAACCGGTTCTCGGGGTGAGGAAGGCATTCAACGAGCAAGGTGGAAGGGGCAGAGGAGCCGGCAAGAGTTGTAACCAACAGACGTAGGACGAGAGAATAGGACCCTCGGCGGGCATGGTGGGCAAGCAGAGGAAGAGAGTCATGCATACTCTGGGAGAATACTAAACCGATGCTCTTTTTTCGTTGCCTCAACCTACAACATCGGGTTATCCAGCCCCATATATTTCTCATATGCCTATCGTGAAGTACCAATCTCCACCTAGGCGCGTTACCCACAATCTCCCAACTAAATGTCCCGTTGGACATATCTTCACACCGTGTACTATGCGGCGAAAGGATAACAATGGTTGCTGCTTCACGTGGGAGCCGGCGGCGGCTAGGGAAGGCGATGGGGAGCAGCGTCGTCCTTTGAGTGGCGGCTCCGCAGATGGGGGTTCCGCCCTTGCCTCTCCTCGCTGCTGGGTGGAACTAGACTTCGGAAAATCGGTCACCGTCAAGGGGTTGACAATCGAACCGCTGGCAATCCAAAGAAGTGGTGAGACCATCGGGTACATGTATGGGATTTTAAAGAGGGGGGGGGGGGCAGAG